AAATGTTCCAGCTTAAACGTGCTTGGACCAACAACTTCATGAATGCGATATGGTCCTTTCCACTTTGCTGCCAACTTCCCAACTGTGGCATTTGGTCGGAAGTCCCGTTTTAACACAAGACCTACTAGCATAATGTTATGGAGGCTCATGCTACTTGGCGTTTCATTGCCTCCAATCGTAAAACCGCTTCTTCCCAGCACTCGTCCAAAAGATCCAGCTCTTCTTTTGACTCCTCACTGTGCATCACGCGAAAGGTTGGAATTCTCATTTCCACAGGCAATACCGCCTCACTTCTGTAATTCAATGCGAAGGGTGTCTCTCCAGTGTCTACCTTAAAAGTGGTTCTATGCGCCCACAACACGCTTGGCAGTTCCTCCACCCACTTTCCCTTAGCGGCTTCCAACCTCGTGTGCAAACCATGTAGGATACCTTTGTTAGCTGCCTCAGCATATCCATTATCATAAACCAAAGATAAGCTACAGACGAGAACCACAAGACCACCCCATTCTGGTCACAAAAGTCGACACTTTATGTAGTCGAACTGTTTCCCATGGTCAGTGATGATGGATTCAGGGAGTCTAAACCGCGTGAAAATATTTTTCCTTGTAAACTTCTGCACTTGCATCGCGGTGATGGACGCTAGCGTCTTTTCCTCGATCCACTTGGTGAAGTAATCTATCGCAACGATCAAGTACTTGCGTTGTCCGGGCGTCTTGGGGAAGGGCCCCAAAGGGAACATACCCCCATTGGGCGAAAGGCCAGGCGCCTACATTTCCTTGCATGAGCACCACTGGAATGTGTATATCATTGGTATGAATTAGGAATTGATGACATGTGGCTACATGTCTCATAACGTCAGCTCGCATTGTTGGCCAATAATATCCTTGCCGAAGTAGTACTTTCTCCAAGTTGCGGGCGTCCACATGCATTCCACAGGTTCGTTGGTGTACCTCGGTGATTGCATTGAGTCCTTCAGCATTCGTGAGGCACCATAAATAGGATCCTGAATGAGACCTCTGAAGAGGCAGCCCTCAAGCGCCTACTTGTCTCCAGCTTGTCGCGAAGGTTAATTATTCCGGTGATCAACTCCGCCGTAAGTATCACCCGGTCTAACTCTTGCTCCTGGTTCACCTCAAATGGATGTGGTTGCATTTCAGCGACCTTCTGATTGTTCGACTTAGTGGGTGCCTTCTTCGTCTACCTCGTCATAAAGGTGCGGTAAGTTCTCTCCTCTGTCCTTTTAACTAACTCGTTGAACATTCCTCTGTCGGCCAACGTTTGCAACTCCGCTTTCAGTTGGTAACAATCAGTCGTGTGATGCCACTTATCCCAATTGAAATTAAAATATCGGTCAAGATTATGCTCGTTCGGCTGCCCCCGCATCGATCCTGGCCAACACACATAGTATCCCCTTTCCTTCACATATTAAAGTATGTTCTTAAACAAATCATTATACTCCGTAAAGCTCCCCATGCCTCTTTGTTGCGAGTGTTGTGTATCAGGCCTCCGTGACAGAGCGTTTCCTCCCGCTATGATCCGGGGCGCCTGTCGATCGTCGAGCTCCTCCCCCCTTTGGCGCCTCTTATCCGCCCTCCCGGTGGCCATCGCCTCCTCCAACATGATCACCTTCTGAACCCTATATTCAAGTCTTCCATTGAGACCACATCCCTCTTGGAGAGTGCCCGACACAGGTCCTCACTTGTGGTACATTCTTGGAGGCAACTCTCTAATACCAGGGGTTGTGCATCCTTGACAATCATCACGATGGGATCCCAGCGGTTGTAAAGCTCTCTAAGCGCCTCTCCATCTTTTTGCTTTGTCTTAAATAAGGCGCCTATCATTAAGGTACGACGCTTCCGGCTTGCAAACTTGGATAGGAACAACTCGACAAATTGTTCAAAACAGTCAATGCGCCCCCTCTTCGATTTGGTGGTACCAGTCTAGAACGACCCCTGCGAAGGTGGAAATGAACACTTTGCAAAGTGTGGTATCCGAGCTATTGTAGAGTTGCATTTTCGTGAAGTAACTATTCAGATGATCCTCTGGGTTGCTGACTCCGTCATAGCTCGGCAAGGGTTGAATTGCAGTTTTCGCTGGCTCCAACAAGATGTTGCATGCCAATAGCTGTCGTACTCCGTAACGCCTGCTTGGGTGCCCATCCATTGTATCCTTCCGGGTTTGACATGCCCTGATCGTCGGGAAGCTCCCACGGGTCCAGGCGCCCGTGGGGCACTTGTTCTCCGTTATGGCCAGATGTATACGGGTGCCCGTAGTGGTTGGATTCTGTGTCATCCATTGCCATGTCTCGTTTTCTCATTATAGGGCTATGCATTCTAATGTCTTCGCCCCGGCCTCCTTCCAGCTCCCTTCTCAACGATTCGATGGCTCTGTCTTGGTCATCCGAAACAGCTCCCTCCTAGACAAGGAATCACTTTCCGAGGCCGGGCGCTCCTAGTTGTCCTCTTCCTCAACTCCATACTTAGCTTCTGGCTTGTTAAGCGCTCGTGTTCCCCTTGCCTCGTGTTCTCCGCTCGTGGGCTGCTTCAACTTCCTCCTTCCTTGTTCATCGCTTTCATTGTCTTCCCTTGTTCCCCCCTATCTGGCGCGCCAATTGTTTGAGTCATGATACCCCGAACCAAATATTTTGAACTCAGTTCCAACCAAACTCCCGACCAAGGCGCCTGGGCCCTGCAAGGATGTGTGCACAGGGGGCCTGAGTGGCCCGTTAGCACTCTGAAGCTCAAGTTAGTCGAGTTTCTAGAGAGATAAGTGTCAATAGAGAGTTTAGTGAGAGAATCAAACATGCTTAAATGCCACATACCGAGCACTATTTATACTCGTTGAGGCTCCGACCAAGCTCCTTGAATTCATCCCTACGTCAGCAGTAAGAATGGGAACGTGTCGAGTTTGGGACGGATACCACCAAACCTGCGCCCCACTCTGCTGTTTAAGATTATGATCCACTCTGCCCCGTGCCCCGCCATGGGTTGGCACTTTTTGATCCAAACATTGCCTCGCGCGGATCGAGTAAAATCCGCTCTGCGCCATTTCATTTTCTTGTAGACTCTACCTCCTTCAGGCTAGATGGCGATTACACAACCAAGATAGAGAATCAACAAAAACTAAATCAAAAATAGAGAAAGAAACAAATCAAACATACGAGTACTTACCAGCGGATGAGAATAGCTATATGAGAAAGCGGAACTCGAAAGACGCAAAATAGAGGCATAACTATATTCAAGGGTGATCGATCCTTACCTAGCGACAGCAGGCGGAGAAGAAAAGGATGCCAAAGATGGCATATTGATCGAGGCCAACCCTTACACGGACTTGTCGATGGCGGGCAAGTTTATTCACGAGAGGAGATGGCTGCGATGACTGATGTTGTTAGGCAAATAGACAATCCCGTCATAATCCCTCCTTTTTACAATTCTTCCGTCCTTAAGATAATACAAGCCCATCAACAATTAATAAACCCCTAAAACTAAATGTATCATTGGGCTAGCCTATTTCCTCTGTATAAGCAGTGTTTTTTCTTTGTGTCATTTACAACTAATTAAAGAAGAAGTTGAGCCTAGAGTAGGAACTGTAACATCCCGAACCTTTTCCCGACAAGATACTGTCCGCTTTGGGCCTCTACACCCGCACGAATTTTCCTTGGGGTGCAATTCAGGATGATTTCCCGTAAGGTAACCCATCCTTGTTGTACTCCACACTGAGCACGTTTAACTTCAGAGATCTCACAAGAACTCCTCCATTACACCCCAAAACGCGTCTTATCTTTTAAGGTCGGTTTTTTACTTATGAACCATGGATCTCTCACATGCTTTGTCGATGTGGGATTTGCCTAAGGTGTTACATACACCCCCCTTGGGACTCAACGCCCTCGTTGAGGTTTGCCCCACCATCGTTCAAGAGGGACGCAGAGAGGCTCTGATACCACTTGTAACATCCCGAACCTTTTCCCGACAAAATACTATCCGCTTTGGGCCTCTACAACCGCACGGATTTGCCTTGAGGTGCAATTCAGGGTGACTTCCCATAAGGTCACCCATCATTGTTGTACTCCACACTGAGGACATTTAACTTCAGAGTTCTCACAAGAACTCCTCCATTACACCCCAAAACGCGTCTTATCAGTTAAGCTTATGAACCATGGATCTCTCCCGTACTTTGTCGATGTGGGATTTTCCTAAAGTGTTACAAGAACATCAGGGCGGGACGGGCCAGATCAGGGCAGGGCGGGTTGTATAATATTATCCATATTCGATCCGTTCTTCTCACGGGTCGGGGTATGATCCGTCCTGTTTTGGAACAAGTCGGATAAAATCTACCCCATTACGGAGCAGATCGAGTAAACTCCAATAGAGCGGATCCAGATTGCTATCCCTAGTCAGCAGTACATTAAATGCTCGGTACGACCTAATGTGTAGGCGACTATACGTGGCACTTCCTCAATTCTCATGTCGGGGCGCCTAGAGGGACCACTTCACAGGTGGCAGCCTTTTAGCTGTCTTCCTCCGTACTATTTTGTCATTAAACCCTCTTTTATCGCTATGCGCCCTCCCTCCACAAATCTATTTTAGTGAACCCTTTTTCCTCTAACTCAACCTATATTGTTCTGTGCCCTCCAATAGCTCAGGCCCCATTTGAGTTTGTGACAATTCACATTGCCCTAACAAATATATATTTTTTAATTTTATGAAATTACTTTTCATTAAATATCAATAACCACAATTACCAAATATAAAAATTTTCAGCTCCCTTATTTTCTCATCTCCATTTTGTTAGCAGACCAATAACGTAAGATATCATTTCAGGCGAGTTATCAAACCATTTTACATGCATAGCCAGAGCCGACTCAAGTGGGCTAATGAGTTAAAAGTCCAAATACGAATAACATCACAAAAAGCCCACAGGATATAAACTGAGTTCTCTATATCGATTCAAGTGGGCTAATAAGTTAAAGCCCAAAGGAATACCAGGATCTAAACTGTAATCTCTATATCGCAAAACGACGCGCTTGACTAGAAAAAGCTTCTTCCTAACGGCAGGACCTTCTCCGCCACTCTAGAACCTTCATCGTCCAAAACCCTACTATTCATTCTTAAATTGAAAGTTGAAATCTACCCCTTCTTTTTTCCCATGTTGTGGTGGTTCTCGTAGTTTCATCGAATTTCCACCCTCACTCAGGCAAGCAGTGCGTAACTGCCCGGAACTCGTCTCACATCGTCGGACCATTGCATTTCCCCCTGCGGTAAGATGTCGAACGATTTGGCTCTTGATTTGGAGGAGCTTAGGCAGCTGCAGGCCATAGCCAAGCGGCCTCGCGTCCTTTCCCTCATCTCTTCCGAGATTCGCAACATGGAGCAGGTTTTGTGCCTTCCTTTCCGTTCATTCCCTAATCGCAGAATTCTCCTCTGTCAGTCGATGAACGTTCAAACTTTTGTTACTGGAATTACCTCTTTTTGGTACGAATCGCTTAGTTGTCTGTCAACTGTTTGATTAAATGCCTCTTAAGGATTTTTATTATGTCGGTTGTCCCTTTGTTTTCTGGTAATGTTTTTACTTTCGAGTCAAGTTGGAATTCAGAAGCCACTTATGCATTCAAAGACTAACCTACGCCGAGGAGATTCTGTAAAGATGATTTCTTTAGTTGTGACTTCTGGTTTCCCGTTTTAATTTTGGCGCGTAGATGTTGAAGGGCCCTGCTTTTGTCCCTACACCAGCTCCCATTGCTACTGGAGTCAAGCCCTCTGCTTCTCCTGCATTGACGTATTCTACTCTTGGATCGTTCAGCTGGGATCAGGACGCTGAGAAAGTGAAGGTAGTTAATAGGGGTTGCTCTCCCATTGAACTGTCGCTTGAAGTCTCAAACCATTTATCGTGTTGGTAGCTGTTTAAGTCTCCCTTTTGTTTCCTGCTGCAGATTTATGTGTCACTAGAGGGTGTCGAGCAAGAGAAAGTTGAGGCAGAGTTCAAGGAGATGTCCTGCGATGTCAAGTTCCATGATGTTCAGGGCAAGAACTACAGGTGCGCCATCCCGAAACTGAACAAGGAAATAGTGCCGGATAAATGTAAGGTGGTGGTTAAGCCTACGAGGGTGATCATCACTTTGTTCAAGGCTTCAAAGGGTAATTGGTTGGACTTGCAGTTCAAGGAAGACAAGGTATCAGAACTGAATGTGTCAAGGTCACTCTTGTTTGGACCAGTAAGGTTTGGGGTTTTGGCTTACTAATTAGCTTTCTTCATCTTGCACAGCTCAAGCCTAATCTGGAGAAGGAGCGGGATCCAATGGCTGGGATTATGGGCTTGATGAAGGTATGTGAACAAAAACTTCCTTCTCTGGGTCTTGGTAAAGGATTTCTTGAATCCATGGACTACTAGCTCATACACATGGAGCTATTTAGGCCATGAAAACTAGTGTTGATTGTTCCTTGTGATTTGTGAACCTTGCCACTGCAAATTTTCTGCAGAATATGTATGAGGAAGGGGACGAAGACCTGAAGCGAACTATTGCCAAAGCATGGACTGATGCAAGATCTGGCAAAGCGACTATATGAGGAAGGCTTTTTGTAATCCCATTTTGGCTTGGACGACATTGTCTAGGGAAGTTGGGTTCTAGGTTCTTTTGGTTATATATCAGCTACTGCATGGTTGTAAGGATGTCATTGTTGGTCCAAAAATGGGAATGCATCAAGATGTGTTTGCACTCTGTTGATCATTTCTGGAATGTAAATTGCCTTTTCGGCCGGTCTCTGTTCTCAATTCTAATGTCGTGACATGGTTCATCTTTTATCTCCAATCTAATCCATTTTCTGCTTTCGTTCAATTTCTGGTTTACACACTGGCCAGGTCTTTAATATTGAAATGATCAAGTCTTTCTTTGTTGTAGCCACACAACTCGTGGAAAAGCTTTGGCCAAGATTGGCAACACAATCCATGCGCCTTGTTGTCTCCGTATTTCCCTTATGACTGGTCATTTCCTAACTTTCATTTACAGTAGTTCTCTTCACCATGAATACCTTTAAGTTGCTTATCTCCACGTCCATTTACATAGCAGAATCACATTCTTTGCTTCTATGTCCACTACCCCAAGCCACCACACTCCACAGTTCTTTGGTGTCTTGCACTTATCTCATCCCACTAGATGAAGGTTTTGTTTCTCATGAGTTCCTGACCAAATATTGGTGCTTAAGGTACATTTTAGACTACCTCTATACTTGCCCCTTACCCTAACTGGTATATTGGCCTGTGGAACCACACACAATAGTTTCATGTTACCGTTTTTATCAAGGTTGTCAACCCGCGGGCGGACCCGCACCCGCCCGTCTACCCGCGAGGCGAGAAAAACGGGCCGCACGTACTTGTCGGGTCGACCGCTTCAAAATACCGGATTGGATGTCAAATTGTGTCATTTTTTTCTTTGGTTTGCGAAATGCACCTATTTTTCAGTTTTTTTTGTCCGCCTAACTCAATCTTTGGAATCCTAAGTTGAACATTTGAATATTGATGTTATATAAGTGTGTGAATTTTCACTATATGTTGGATCTAAGTACGACATGTTATTTTGGTGTAATATTATATGTTATAACGCATATGTTAGATGAGATTTGATATAATTTATAAGGATAAGTACAATATAATTATTCTTTTCATTTTTCCGGACTAAAATAGGTGACCCATTAACTCTTGACCCACTAGCTCGACCGGATCCGGATCAGCCCGCATATTGACAACCTTGGTTTTTATTTATAACTAGTTACTTCCGATTGATCTGAGTGCCAACAAACCTTGAGTTGAGAAGAAATTTCAATGAACAAATATACCGTGGCGCAGCTGAAGGGGGCCATATACAGTATTTGGTCGACCTGAAAAATGGGAGCTGGCTGTACCGTGTTGCAGTAACAACTTTACATCAGTAGTCAGTTTTGTGGACTTGACAAGTTGTGCACGCCTTGTACGTCTCAGGATATATATAGTCAAAATCAAACTACAAAATTTTATCTCGTTTGTTTCTGCGGTTCAATGTTCGTAATGCTTTTTTTTTTAGCAGACATTAATGTTGTTTCTGTTATCGCTTCTATTTTGTATATTCGTCGGCTCTTCCATTAAATCCATAATATTTAATACTATCGATAAATAAAATATTAAATTTTTATCTTGTTGCGTGAAGTATTGAGTTTATATACTATATGTTTCAACTATGGTTTCAATCGAATCTTTGGGAGCGAAATAGTTTGTCTCGACTTAATCACTAAAAATTTTGTCGCTTAAAAGTATAGAATCAGTCAACAAACTTCTATTCCTCTAGCGTCGTGACAAATACGTTTTTAGGATTCTTTTTCCATGTAATTCACATGAGAGATATATATAGAAACAACCCATTTACAAATTATGATACAGAATCGATTGACATTAATGCTATCAATTATCAAAGCGGCGAGGAGCAAAATATCTTATGTGCATCCGAAAATCGAATCCTAATGACTGGTGTGAAGACTACAATCCCATAGCTGGTGTAGTGAACAGAAAACCACTAAATTATGTCGTCCACCTCGACGAAACCCACTATGTCGATGGTAAGTAGTATAGGTGTCAATCGGGCGGGTTCGGGCGGGTTTGGGCTGGGTTCAATCGGGTTTGGGTTCAAACGGGTTGCGGGTTAGTCGGGTTGCGGGTTCATCGGGTTCGGGTTCAAACGGGTTGCGGGTTAGTCGGGTTGCGGGTTCATCGGGTTCGGATTCAATCGGGTTGCGGGCAAATCGGGTTGCGGGTTCATCGGGTTTTGGGTCGGGCGGGTTGCGGGCGGGTCGGGTTTCGGGTTGTTCGGGCCAGCGCATCAAGTAACTTAACTCATTACTCATTACCAACTTACACATTTTATTACACTAATTTAAAATATTTTCTCAACTTTTTAACCAATTTATTTCTACCTCGTATATATATACTTTATTTTTTTGAAAAAAACTAGTCAAAATGTTAAATCAATTTGTATGACTTGCAAACTTGTTATGTAATTAATCATAATTGGTAAAGTATTATAGCTAATAGTAATGGTGATATCAATATTTGCAACCAAAAGACACCGTTAATTGTTTATTTGATATTTTAGTATTAATTCAGTAGTAATTGGATTAAAGTATCTCGTTTAGTATAACCATGCAAATCTGGTATTTGGCGTGTGGTATTTGGAAAAAACATAGTGATAAAAGGAGTTATTTCAAAATAACTCATTGCCCAAATAACTTTAGTAAACTGTTGCCAAACGAGTTATTTGTAAAATTGTTCGAATTATCTTAAAAATTGAACCATTAAAGATTAGCTATCAAATTTAGTAAAATTATTGTGACTTCAATCATAACTTACTCAATAGCATATATCCTATACACTTAGCTTTACCCTCAATCAACAATATTAAGTTAGTATATGTTGTTGATTGTATACCCTAAACCATCAATACATTATACACTAACCACATAACCTATACCCTAACCATATGTCATTGAGTTGTGATTTTGCTAGTATAGTTAATTTAAAAGTGAATTCATTCTTTGATTTTCAAAACATAGATAAAAAGTGATATTTGCTAATTGCTATACCCTAACCATATATCATATACTTTACACCACATACCTTGTACCCTAACCACGTACCATAAACACAAATTAAAAAGGGATCTCCTGCCGTTAAAGACTTCAAATGACTTCAAGTGAACATATGTTAATAAAAAACTTAGAACCGTCAAAACCATCAATATCCTATACCCTAACCATATACACCCTAAACCATATGTACCTTATACCCTAACCATATACTTTATATCCTAAACAACGAACCGTCAAAGATTACTTATCAAGTTTAGTATAAATTGTTGTAACTAATGGTTAATTTATTTATTAGCCCATAAAAAATTACATACATATATACATATTAGCCTTCAAAGCATATAAGAATAATTTTAACTAGTCATGCCTCCATATAAAAGTTAAAGATTCATATTTCAAAAGATAAAATTATGAAAAACCAAAAAATTGAAAACACCAAATTTGTTTCCTTATTTCTTTTCACAAAAATACTAAAATTTCCCTCCTTCTTTCTTCTTCCATACATTAGAAAAACTCAATTTTCCCTCCTCTTTCTCTTCCATAAAATTGAAAGAACCAAATTACTCTCTTCTTTCTTTCTATAAAAAGTTGAAAAGTCAAAAGTTTCCCTCCTTATTTCTCTTTCATAATCAAAAGAATCAAACTTTCTCACTTCTTTCTCTTCCCACATATCAAAACCACCAAAATTCCCACTTGTTTCTTTTATAAAAAATTCAAAGAACCAAATTTCCCTCTTCTTTCTCTTCCCAAAAACTTGAATACACCAAAATTTCCCTCTTCTTTTTAAAAACATCAAATTACCAAATACATTACTTTACTTTATTTATATTTAATTGATAATTTTATTGAATAGTTAAATTAACCATAATGTTAATTTATATATTGTATTAATATTGTCATGATCACAAGTGACCTTCATGTTTCAATTTTTGTAATTTTCTTAAAATACGTAATATCAAGTGAGTTTCATATTTTTAAAATTTCTTATACGAAATGAAAAAATAATTTTACTTAAGTTTAGAATGAAAAACTTTATTTTAAAAAACTATGTATTGTATATTTTTATAATTATTCAAGTGGATTAGATGAAATTCGGGTTGAGTCGGTCGGGTTACGGGTTAGTCGGGTTTGGGTCAATCGGGTTCGGGTTAATCGGGTTACGGGTTAGTCGGGTTGCGGGTCAATCGGGTTGCGGGTCAATCGGGTTGCGGGTTAGTCGGGTTGCGGGTCAATCGGGTTGCGGGTTGGGCGGGTTACGGGTTGTTGACTTTTAGTCAATTCGGATTGCGGTCGAGTTCGGGTCGGGTTGATCGGGCGGGTTAATCGGGTCGGGCTATGTTTTGACACCTATAGTAAGTAGTAGTTAAGTACGTAGCAGGTGACGCTTCGTTGGTATGTGAGATAGAAATAGCACGTGAGACTGCTTAATGTTTGCATCTCAAGCTAGTCATGTGGAACATATGATTTTCATCCTAACCCACTTGGTGTTAGAATTAACTTGTATCGATATGGTTTTCGTAGAAATTCTTCTATGATACACACTGAATTTGTACCTTCAATATTAGATATATATTCAACTTGTATTTAGTAGTACTAATTCTTTGGAGCATAATAAATTAGCACAGATTTCTATCGTTACAATAGACAACTTTTATGAGCAGAAACAATTCTTTGATATCACGATCACCGTCGAAAATGCATATTAGATGGTGTGGAGTAACGTTTTTATATTTTATTTTATATAATGCCCATATAACTTCTATATATAAAAGCGAGAGTAACGTGTAGTGTATATTAACTTCTTTTCCTCCTTTTGTCCAAAAATTGCATTACGAAGTAAGTTTGTTCGTTAATAAGAACGAAAATGAAATCCTAAGTTATGTTTTCCTCTCAGAAGAAACCCACAATGCAGAAGTTACGTACGTAGCAGGTGACGCAAACTTGATAAGTGGAATTGCGGACTGTTAGAATAAAGCCAATTGAGGGTTTCTCACGGTTATAAAATAACACGTTGATGGACCTGACATCCTGCTAACTCTGTAGTGAATGAGCGATTAAGTTGATGCTTATAATAAGTTGTATTAGTTCGCATTTGAGCATGGTTGGCCGGTGTGCCATCGGTTGTACCGGTCATAAAACCGGCGTAACACCACCGGTATGACCGGCAGGATCGATATACGAATCTCTAAGTAAAATGACTTTATTTTAGATAATTTAATTGATAAAAATTATTTTATTATTTATTTTATGAGTATAAAATTTAAATATTGATGTTATTTGTTGGATTCAAGTATAAATGCTTAGGTATTGACGTTAAATGTCATGTTTAAATATGAGTATTTATAATATTGACCGGCATGAACCGGCACAAACCGGTATGTGCCACCGGTTGAACCATTCCACTTGCTAAACCGACACACTGGCATAAACCGGTTTGACAACCTTGCATTTGAGTCAATGACTGCAACTCAAAAAACAAATACTACGATTATAATTGGGTTATAGGTATAATATGCCCCTCTACTATGACGTTTTATCAAACATGCCCATTTACTATTTTTTACATCAAACATGCCCCTGTAATTTGGAAAAACTATCAAACATGCCCTTCAGTTGAAATTTCCATCGAAAAAATCGGCAATCATGGTTGAACCGAGATTTAGACGACCTGACATCGATAAATGGGAGGGGAAATGTCAGTTTTGACCCTTGTTTTATTTCTCTAGGTCTCATCAAAGTGAAATTATTAGAATTATTTGGCTATACAAAAGAACAAAAAAAACTTTAAAGTGAAATTATTAGGGATATTTTAGATATTTGGGTCGCCCAAACCAAAGTTCGGTCTTGGTTAACAGTTTTTGGATGAAAATTTTAACAAAAAGGGCATGTTTGATAAGTTGTCCAAAGTACAGGGGCATGTTTGATGTAAAAAATAGTAAAGGGGCATGTTTGATAATAGAGGGGCATATTATACCTATAACCCATTATAATTATATTTAGCGTTAGAAATTGGTATAGTATCGGTATCTTGATATCTAATATCGAAATCTC